CACACATTGAGTGCATTCCTTACATTGGAAAAGAATTCAGAAGGTCACACTGTCACACAAAATTGATATGACTGTGTTTTTAAATGAGGACATTCCAGGATATAGATATAGATAGGGAGTGCCCCCCTAGTCATGTTGGAATTTTAAGCTTAAAGTCAAAATTTAAAGAAAAAAGTTGGGGGAAAAGAAACTTTGCCAGAACCACCATGCAAAATAAAGGCAGAGATGCCAGATGCAGCCACACATGCACTGGGCAGTGTGGGGACCAGACCCGGAAGAGCCTGACAGTATCAGATCCACAATCTTCAATTCAGAGGCCCAGCAGCTGCTTTTGCCACATACTTCCTTGAATGAACAGCACATTTCCAGCTCACTAGCGCAACACGGTTGCTTCTATACATAGACAAATCAAGACTGAGCTGTTAGGCAGATTTTGAGTGCAGCAGCCAGGCCTGCTCTTCAAAGCACTGCCCCCACCCCCTGCCGTAGCACCCAGGAGGAATGACCCACTTTCACACTTGGAAACCTCTGTGGGTGTGTTCAGTTCCCACAGCCTGGGCTCTAACTCTGGTGGCTTTCTTCCTACTTACAATTTAGAGGGTATTTCTCTTTTATTTACTAGATGTACCAAATAAAGGAGAAGAAACCACTGAGCTGAGCAGACTTGGCTTACAGTGCTTCATGAGACAGAATCCTATCCAGAATTCTGGATTTGTTCCTAAGCAACAGAGAGCCATGTTCCTGGGCAGCCCTGAACTGGGGCTCCTTGTTCAAACCAGGCACTCTCACGTCAGCATCCTGGGAACAGAGGCATGCCTTGCCTGGTTTATAGGAATGTTGACTTTAGTATGTCTTCAGATGAACCATGTGCCTAGAGGCTATTTTCTGGCCTTAACCCCTCCAGGTTGTAAATGTTCCCAGATACTTCTCATGGGCTGAGGGTCCAGGGCTGTACCTAACCCTGTGAGCTGCTGGCAAGGTGGAACTTAGAAGGATTCAAAACACTTGCTTTAAAACCTGAGGTAGCTTGCCCATTTCCTGTGATGGAGGAATTTGCGTTCTGTAATATACACATGAAACCCAATGTGGGCCTCTTCTACTTCCTCCTTGCTACTCCAAGGCAATAGCATCTCTTGAATCAGACTTGGCATTCTCATTCATTATTGTTGAGACTAGTACGGAGCCAGCAACCAGAAATCTCATTCCTTATCATCATCAGTGTCCTCCAGCACAGAGGCAACAGAGGCCTCCCACCCTAACCAGAACTCCATGATACATCATGACCCACTCCACCCACAATAGCTTTGGAGCTCACTTTTTTGCTGTGTAGCTTGACCATGTCTCTTTATCCTGGACTTTTTCCCCTCCAGGTGGCCCAAAGTTTCTTTCCTGAGGTAGAATGCAGACAACATGATGATAAGTGGAAGTGTTTCCCTTTGTCAGGTTTGTGTTCTGCACCCTCAGCAGTATGCAGGAGGCTGAGAGTATACAACCTTGGGGGGTGCAGCCAGTTAAGATAAAGGGTGTGGTCTGCATGCACACGCCTGGGATTCAGTCCCCACCACCACAGGAGGGAATCAAAGCAAGACTATATAGTTACTTTTATTTATGGAACATTATGAGATTGAGATCAAATTTTCCTTTCCCTGAAAAAACAAAGTCCCTGGTTCTCAGTGCAGCAGTTGGCCTCACTGCTGTGATTAATCCCTAGTCACACTAGAGACCATGTGCCAGATGTCAGGGTCTTGTGCATCACTGTGTTCCCTGAAGGACTCTATGGTTACTCTGTCCATGACACTGAGATGCGGAACCAGGGTACCTGCTATGTCATCTCCAATTGGCTGATCTACACTTTAAAGTTCAGAGTATCTCTCCAGGCCTGTACCACTGTGTCCGTGACAGCAGCTCCCATGTAAGGTGGTGGAACAGATGCTAAGGATTTAGTGAGAGCAACGTACACCAGCACATTACTTCCAGCTGTTGGTTAGCAGATATCAAGTATGCCTATTATTATCGTAGAGTACCAACATTTCTGTAGCTTTTCTCTTTCCTGGAGTCTTCTCACAAGACCTTTTGATTGTTTTTGTTTTCTCCCATTACTATTTAAAAATTCTTACAGAAAGATGGAAATGGCCAAGAAGAAAGGAAAGAGATGGAAGTGGAAAGAAAATGAAATATGAAGTGGTTTGCAGTTAGCACTTTTTAACATAATCCTTTCATGCTGGCTTTGTAAATGCCTATCAATTTCTAGGAGCCTTCCCAAGGGTGCCAGTCTCAGGAGAGAAGAAAGTAACAGGAAAAGAAGAGAGGGTTTTGTTGTTGTTGTTGTTGTTGTTGTTGTTGTTTTTTCTAGGAAGGCTCCTAGAAGATCCATTGGTATTTCTCAGTTTTTGTGAATTCAGAGCAAAGATGTTTATTTGGAGTTTCAGAGGAGACTAATGCCTGCTTTCCCAGGTAGTCTGGCACACAGGAAAGCCGGGCCATCATGATAACATTTTGTACCTTTGATTATAATGAAGTGAAACTGGAAGAGATGGGAGCAAAAAAAAGCATAGGCTAGCAGGAATGTTAAGGCCAGTGAGTGTTACCTGATCACCTCATCGCTTACTCAGAGAAAATTTTCCCTAGGAAGAGCAAAGGCAGGAGGCATAGAAAAGTTAAGGCTGACAGTCAGTCACCAATGTTCTACTATATCATTTTGAAATTGAAAATGAGTCCCTGCCTTTGTTCCTTAAGCCACATGGTTTTAGAGCAGGAATGGATTATAGGAATGTATACAACTAACTCATCCCATGAAAGGGTACTCAGCTGCTGCCCTCTGATCCGTCTTTGGGTGCCTTAGAAGGTTTACTTTGATGCTTAGGCATAGATCTCAGGCCCACTCTTCACTCTTGCCGAATGTTCTGGCATTTTCCCCTACGTAGAGGCATCTTGAAAGTTTAAAAGGGAATCAGTGGTGATGGCACTAAAGAGAAGACTCCTTTCTTGTTTATCATATCCGGTCATAGGTGACAGGAGGAAGGCCTGAGGAAAATATTTGATCATAGGTTTACATTATACTAGAGCCTTTGGATTAAAAAGTCCGAGCCAAGGTGAACTGTGCGTTTTTATGCTTAGGATTGAACTGAAGAAGTGGGTCCTCATGGTAACAGATGGAAGTCCAGCATGCCTCTCTTAAGTTAGACTCCTTCCTCCTGGCTATGAGCACCCCTTTCTGAAATGAGGTCTTAAACCTATAGTCAAGCAAGGTAGACAGGGAATTTGATATGGCCCACTCTTGCTCAGAAAGATCTCTTAGAGGAGTTCAATTTTTGAGATTTAGTGACTCCTTCAGGGTTGTGGGTTCTATTGCCAGCTATTGGGCGAGAGGTCTGGCTTCTTTGACTAAGCAGTAAAAGTTAAGAGAGAAGACAGTCACAGAGAAGACCCACAGTGACAGCCTACTCAGGCTGTCTGGGGCCATCCTTCTCTCCCATGTCCTACATTGATCAAGGTTGCCTTCCCACTCAGTCTTGCTGATTGCTATGCAATCCACTCAGTGGAGGAGTCAAATGCTGCCTTTTTTTCCAAAACAACCCATGCCCTGCCCAGTGAGATAGACCCTAAGTAGTAGGTTAGTCAACAGAGACTCAAGGAATCTGGGCTCCTGCAGGCAATTGCATTCAAACTGCATTCAAAGAATCTCATTTAATTTTCATGGGAGGAGGTTAGCTACTGTGTTTTGTTTTATTTTTTAACCAAATTGAGGCATCAAAATAGAAATGCACAATTAAAGAAAATCATTATGTAGTCATCGCCTTGGGGTTTCTCAAATATTGCATAGGAACACATTTTTATTAGAACAAATCCCTTTGCAGATTACCAAAATTGGCTCCAATAAAATAGGATGGATTTTATTTAGAGATGAAGTGTTTGAGAAGATTATCAAGAGAAATACCAGTTATTTCCTTCCTATCGTCAGTTTCTCACATGAGTGAAAAAACCTCAGTGACATCACTGTGTAGATTGTGCACATCTGTAACTCGACATGTTAGATGGACTGCACTCTTAATATTCCTGTTATAATGGGAATGCTGATGAGGTCATTCTCTGGCTGTTTTGGAATGCTGATGGTTTGTAAGTAGGCTCTCCTACTAGCAAGAGGAAACAAGATGTTTCACACTTGTCAAGTATGAGAAATTATGGAGCATTTCATAATTAACCTATCCACTCCAATGGTTCCCCTCCAAGTATTTCCATAATAGTTATTTTTAACTCAAAAAATAAGTAAATTTTAATGAAATAAACTTCACATGCACTATTAGTTTCCAGGACAGTGCTTTAAACATACTGCTTGCCGAAAGTAAACAGACTGAAACAGGCTGTATTTCTTAACAGCGTTTTGGTTGTTTATTTGTTTGTTTGTTTCTTGCCGTTACCATTTCTCACCACCTTTCCAGTTCTTGAATCGCTAAAGAAATTATAGTTTCGAGTTTTACTGACAGATTGGTCATAAGCAGTCACAAGTTTTACTTCACTGCAAATGGGACGCCGCTGCAACGCAAATCGCCCACGTTGCCGCTAAAGCAGATGGAGGTCTTAGGAAGCCCCTAGCATTTAATGAGCTACAGAACGGAACAGGGCTTGGCTGAACCCTCCGTTCCCCATTCACGAGTATTTCCTGGGTCTCACTCTAAGTGATGCCAGCCAGACGTGTTCAGGAGGCGGTTCTCACCAATGGGGAGGCAGCTGGAAGAGTTCCGTGGGAAGCCTCAGCCCCTTTCTTTCTGGCAATTGCCCACATTTGGCTGCTGCCGGAGGCGGCGCAGGCTCCAGGAGAGGTCCCGGTTGCCCTCCTTGCGCGGTTAACCGGGAATTGCCAGGGCTAGCTTCACTGACCTTGTGGGGCTCTCGACGGGTGGGGGTGCCACGGAGGTGGGATCACTGCGGGGTTCCTCTGTTGCTAGAGCTGTGATGTCACCCGCCCCTCCTAACCCGCGGTTGGTTGTTTTGTATTTCAGCTCTGCTGCAGTTGAGCACAAAGACCTGAAGGAGACTCCCACAGCCTTCAGGGAGAAGAAAGGAGGCAGCCAAGCCGATTAAAAGGAACTTGTGGCTTGTGGCCTTTTTGTGCAGGGGCTGCCTGGAAGGGGAGAAAAGTGCGCTGAAGCCACGGCGGCGGTTAATGAGCTGTGAGATGAGGAGCAGCTGCGGCTGACACTGCTTCCAGGATCCTTCGTCTGCCCTTTGTGCTTCATGTACATGTGTCTGTTCAGGCCGGCCAGAGGCGCCCAGAAGAGCATCCACCACGGCTGCCGGGGAAAGACCGCCCACCATGCCCACGGAGACGCTACAGACAGGTAGCATGGTGAAGCCGGTCAGCCCCGCGGGCACCTTCACGTCGGCGGTGCCCCTACGCATCCTGAACAAAGGACCCGACTACTTCCGCAGGCAGGCCGAGCCCAACCCCAAGAGACTCAGTGCGGTGGAGCGGCTGGAGGCTGACAAGGCCAAGTACGTCAAGAGCCAGGAGGTGATCAACGCCAAGCAGGAGCCCGTGAAGCCGGCTGTGCTGGCCAAGCCCCCGGTGTGCCCAGGAGCCAAGCGCGCACTGGGCAGCCCCACTCTCAAGGTGTTTGGCAACCATGCCAAGACCGAGAGCGGTGTGCAACGCGAGACCCTCAAACTCGAGATCCTCAAAAACATCATCAATAGCTCCGAGGGCTCCAGCTCTGGCTCTGGCCACAAGCACAGCTCCCGAAACTGGCCTCCTCACAGGGATGCCACTGACCTGCACCGACACTCCTTTGCTGAGTCGCTGAAGGTGTACCCTACGCCTGGGCGAGGCAGCCCGCAGGAGAGCAGCTCCCATGTGAGCAGGAGACTGCTGGAGCAGTCCCCAGAGTCTTTCCTGCACGTCTCACACAGCTCCTCGGACATCCGCAAAGTGACCAGCGTGAAGCCCCTTAAAGCCATCCCCTGCAGCAGTTCCGCCCCTCCCCTGCCTCCCAAGCCCAAGGTAGCTGCCATGAAGTCTCCCGAGGCTGACCAAGTGGAACCAGCCTGTGGGGTCAGCAGGAGACCTTCCCTTCAGCGGTCCAAGTCAGACTTGAGTGACAGGTATTTCCGAGTAGATGCAGATGTGGAGAGGTTCTTCAACTACTGCGGACTCGACCCGGAAGAGCTGGAAAACCTTGGCATGGAGAACTTTGCAAGGGCTAATTCTGACATCATATCCCTCAACTTCCGCAGCGCAAGCATGATCAGCTCAGACTGTGAACAGTCTCAAGACAGTAACAGTGACCTTAGAAATGATGACAGTGCCAATGACCGGGTGCCATATGGCATTTCTGCCATCGAAAGAAATGCTAGGATCATCAAGTGGCTCTATAGCATCAAACAAGCTAGAGAGTCACAGAAGGTGTCCCATGTGTAAGAGGCACCGTGGTGGAGAGGAGGGAGGGGTGGGTCTGTCTGTGCATACACAGTTGTGAAGGTTGTGAGGTCTCCTTGAAGTGTTGTGAGCTTCTCCACTCTTTGTGTTGCTTGTTGTGCAATGTCCTCAAGTTGCATGCCTGTCAACATGGCAACTGGCCTGGCTTCCTTCTCACATCTCTGCAGTCTTGCTGAACACTCGTCTGCCAAACGTTTCCAGCCAGAATCTGACTGACTAGGGCTTTGCTCTTAAGCAAAACTGTTTACAGGAAAAAAAAAAAAGTTTTCAATTTCTTCAATATTTATGTGGTTCTTGTGTTTTTATACCCCGCATTATTGTGTCTTAATTAAAAATTTTATCAACTGGCTTTTAAGTTGAACACAGAATCTTTTTGAAATAAAAAGCCACTTTGCCTACATGGGAGATCATAACACTGGGGAAATGTGTGGAACTGGTTACCGGAGAATGACTGACAGAACACAGAACCAGGCTAGAGTTTGTTTATGCGGAATCAGGCGGTGGGCCTTGCTCTTGTGGTTCACAGGTTGCCATTCTCTTGCCGCGTGGTGGAGCATTATGGGGCAACAGTGCTGTCTTGTGTCCAATTCAGTGTATATGTGGGTAGTATTTTTGTAGTACTGTCCCAGGAAAGACAATCTGATAAAACCCAGGATGAGCAAATGCCAGAGGTTCAATTTTGGGAGGAAGGTGGGGAGACTGTTGATGCTGTTAAACTGGGATAATTCAGAACTATCTAGTATTAATCTGACAGGAAGACCCACCCCAAAGCTGATTAAAACTGATACTGAGTGCTTTTTCAAAAAGTTATTTTGTGGGATTTTTTTGTTGTTGTTCTGGTTTTGGCCAAGAACTGCTAACACGTGTTGTTTCTCTTGCTCTCTTTGTAGCTGTTCTGTTTGGGGCGGGTCAGTTGGGCCTCTGCAGGTTTGCACTGAGGACCTGAAGGGAAGTGAGATTTCCATCGGTCAGTGCAGTCCTCCATTCCACAGTGCGTCTATTGGGAAGCGGAGTCACATCTCAGCAGTGTGATTCTGTTACCTTGCTTAGATTCTCTCAGGCTGTGGGGATTTGTTACAGCTCTAGGGAACTGTAGAAACACTGTAGCTGTCCACCTTGTTGTCTCTTGTTGCCTCTTCCCCAGTAACCTGCCCTCCTGGTGATTTCAGGAGCCCTGGCACTGGAAGCAGAGGGCACCGGGCAATGCCCACAGGTTCTCGGCAGAACCACCTTAGTCTTCATCGGCTACTAGGAGCCTTTAACTGGTGTGAATGCTGTAAGACTTTGTACATACTTCAGTTGTTCTGGAACCTAAGAAGAAAAGATATGCTAATAAATAGCTCTGATGTAGGTTCTACCTGTGGTGATTTCTCTTTGTCCTTTACTTTTTTCTTCATGAAAAGCTAACTTTGCGATTTGAGCCAGAAACACATTTTTATAGCCTTCAAGAAACATTATTTCGTTAAATTGTTCTCACCCTATCTCAATGATTCTGAGCAGCTCTATTCTTAATTGTAGTTGCTTCAGTGTGCGTTGGCTAAAATAGTTACTGCAAGGTCCCTAAAATATACTGTCTCTTCACTTAGTTCACACTTCTTTTATTTTTGCCTTTCCTTAAACATCAGGATGTTTCACATTTTCCAGAAGACTCTTCAGTTGAAATATTTGTGTTCTTAACTGCAGAGGCGTATCTTTGAAATGACTACCCCTGTTCTCTATGGTGATAGCACTCTCTCTGGCCTTGTATTTGCCCACTCACTCATCTTTCAAGGTGGCAGACAGTAGCCCGCCATGGTCATCAGCCTCTGCCTCAAAGGCTGACACTGCCACTGCTGTATAAAAGAAGCCCTCCTCCTTAGGGACTGTGTTTTTGCTTTCTCCTGTTACTTGAACACGAAGTATTCAGTGAGTATTTATTGAATGAAGTTATTTGAAGAAAATTTCTTCTAAGGTTAAGGTTATACTTAATATGCAAATTTAAGGAAGCATTATAAAAATGTAATTTTTAAAAACAATAATGACTGTCAAACTATTTTATTGATAAATACTTTTCTCCTGAAAGGCAAATTTGGTTCTTTGACTCTTCTGACTGGTCTTGAATTCTTCCTGCTTCTCTCATTGATGTTCCCTGAAACTAGAACTGCTTTGCCAGAAGAAGCATTTGGGAATGCAGCTGGGAATGGTGATGATACATATTCAAATTAATAGAATAAGAAAATTTCTAAGCAAACAAAAAAGGTTTGTTTCCTCACTACTTACATAGAAATGCAGCTTTTTAAGACATAGATGCTTTTGCATTTACATATCCATTTTGGGAGCTATTAAAATACTGGAAATAAATGTTACTTTCCTAAGGAAGCCATCCTTGAGGAAATGAGCATTTCCTGGCCAAGTGCATATCACTGCTTATGCTATCTTAGCTGTAGATTGTGCTTGCCACCTTCAGTACCTACCTGTCCCTAAAACTCGGACCAGTCTCCTGGCCTCATTTTATAATGGACATTGTGAGGCTTTCTGCTTCTATGAAACAGGAGAGCTGTTTCATCTACACAGAGAAACCCTGTCTCAAACAACCAAAAAAAAAAAAAAAAAAAAAAAAAAAAGGCTGTTTCAAATGCTTAATATAAAATTCCACTGAGACATTTCTTAATTGTGAAGTACTCTACAAAGAATGCTTCCTTATAGCTCCTGGAAGTTTTATGTAGGTGTGCATTCATGAATATAAGGTGATTGCCTTGAGTGGTCCTGGAAACTAACTGATTTTTCTGAAAACCACCAAATCTTACAAACAGTTCTGAAATATCCATCACTGTGCTGTTGCCTTAGTTCGGGCTTTCCCCATCTCACCTGAAGTCCTGTTTCTAAAACTTTCTAAGTGGGGGTCTCCCCTCAGCCAGCCCCACTCATCACACTGTCACACCTCTGTAAAGCAAACCCTCGTAATATATAGTTACATGGGCTGGATTGTTGAGAGGATGAACCCCAACTCGTAACACAGAGAGAATGCTGGACATCGCCTCAGACTTCAGACACAGGACTCCAGGCTCCTACAAAGGACAAGCTAGTTGTCATTAGGCACGTGTTCTGCCACCCTTAGGATACATGGTATAATAGATTGCCCCAGAACTCAGCAATTTAAAACAGTTACCTCAGTGTCTGTGCATCAAGAACCCTGGACTGGTTTAGCCAAATGGTTCCTGACAGGATACTTCATGAAGCCACTGACAAGATGGTGGCTGAAACAGAACCAGGATTCACAGGCTAGAGGGCCATCATCTAGTACAGCTTCTGTGGCAAGTGGCCTGGACTCCTCATAAGAAAATTCTCCCCTGCATTAGTTGAAGTTCTCCAGAGGAACAGAACATATGGAATGAATGACTATACATATGGATATATACAGATTTATACATGTCATATATGTATGTGTATACACATATATAATACAATAATTCCCATCTATATGGGAAATATTAGAATGGCACACAGGCTGTGGTCCAGGTTATATAACAATGACTGTCTACCAACAGAAAGTCCAAAAACCCAGTAGTTGTTCAGTTCACAAGGCTGGTTTTCTCAGCTGCTCTTCATTATACGTTGGAATCCCAAAGAAGTAGGCCCTAATACCAGTGAAAGAATGGGCTTGCTAGTGAAATTGAGCAGGCAAAGAGAGAGAACAAGTTTCTTTCTTCCATGTCTTTTACATAGACTACCAGCAAAAGGTGTGTCCCAGATTAAAGATGGGTCATTCCCCCTTTAAAAAAATCTGGATTAAAGGTGTTTCCTAATTCAAAGATCCAGATTAGAAGTGGGATCTCCCCATTCCCAATGACTTAATTAAGAAAAAAATCCCTTACACGTATCCCCAGCCATTTGGGTTTTAGTTAATTCCAGATGCAGCCAAGTTGACAATCAAGAATAGCCATCACATCTCCCTAGGGTTGCCTGTGAATCTTCAGTGGGGTATCTGGCTTCTGCAATGAGAATGACTAAAGAGTGAGTCAAGTAGATGTACCTGTCCTGAGTCTCACACCTCTGCCACAGCCAGGGTGGAGAGGATGAGGATCACAGCCCACATGGGGAGGAGAGTGAGGTGTGTGTTTTATGGATGGAGGTTTGGGTTTTTTATTTAATTTTGTTTTGTTTCAATTGGGTGGTGCTGGGACTTGAACGCATAACTTTGAACATGCTAAACTAAAGCTCTACCACTGAGCTGTGTCACTTGCAGGGTCCCATGCTAATAAGAATGACAAATAACTCATGGGTATAACGTTAAACTGTGTGCTGCTGAGGCTCAGTACTTGGTCATTTTGTGAGAGATGGTCCCTTTCCCCTTAATTTCCAAGATTCTTGCTCTTTCAAGACAACACTACATTTAGTAACATTTTGTTAGTCTATAGGCAATCGCCCTACCAGCTTGTGGTTTTTGTCATGACCACAAACCCAGCCTGTGCAAGTGTAAATGATGTATACCTTCCTGATATCTATATTCCTTATGAGAGAGGGAAAAAAATGTCCTGATAAACACAGAGATCTTGGATGACAGCCCTAGGTTTTACAGTGTATAACACAGCAGCCTAGAGAATATAATAGATACTTAATATGTGTTTACTGGTAGGGGTGGGGTTTTTTGGGCAGCAGCAGTGGGCAGGGCTGGGGTGTTTTTCTTAATTTGAGGATCCTTTATCAAAAATGCTTGGTATCGGGGTGTTTAGAATCTTTGAGCTTTTTAGCTTTGGGGATATTTGCATAAGTTTACTAGTTGAAGATCCTAATGTTAAAACCTGAAACCTTAAATGCCCCCAAATAGAAAACTTGGAGCATCAAGTTGGCCTCAAATTTCAGAGCATTTCTGATTTTCAATTAGTTATATTCCCATTGCAACATGTTTAACCTCTGGCCTGAATGATAAATCCCAGGAAGCCCCAAGTGGTAGTTTTTTTTACCCCTACGTTAGAGGTGAAGAGCTTCAGCCCCATGGAGATTAAGGTCCTTAGCAAAATCCCATGGGAAGCAAGTGCTGGAATGAACTTGAGCTCAACACTGCAATCCCAGCTCCACGTGTCTTTGAGCACTGTTCAAAATGAGGGAAGACAGACAGAGCAAGAGTTTTGCAGCAAACAGCAGGGACCTTCAGCCCATTTGACCACTGAATCTGCTGCCAGAGTATGTAAACACATTAAACATGTCTCAGATTTCAGCAATTCTATCCTCACCTAAACGGGAGCCCATAAATTCAGAAAAAGACTTCAGCTGCTCCAATGTGAGTAGTATACAAGCCACTGGATTCAGAGAGACAAGGCCATTGGAAAATCATTCTTCCTTTCCATATTTTTAAGTGGCATCCTGTCTTTTTTGGATCAAGGCTGTTTGGAAGGCTAAACAGCAGAGACAAATAGTCACAAATCTACAGTCAGGAAACACATTTGGACTATTTGAGAAGTAACCTTGAGGGTGTTACATTGAGAAATGATTAAAGAGGTCAAGCATGTCCCAGTTCAAGCTGAGTGGAGTGTAAAGAGAACTAATCTCATCACCATTTTGAAAGCGTCAAACCTAACTCATCCACTTGTCACCTCAGGAAATGACTGTGAGGTCTGTCACTGCTGCAGGGTTGCCTGGACACACACTCACTGTAAGGACCCCCATCTTGTGGTGCATATGTGCCTCTGCCTAAGTTGCCTTCATAAGGATTTGCTCCATTGCTTTATCCAAAACCCTGCAGAAAAGAATGCCATGGGGAGATGGAATCAGTTAGTCTTTTTATCAGCTTGCTCCACTATCTGAGAACCCTCTGCTTCACCTGAGAACCACAGGTGACCTCCATTCCCTCACAGGTGAAAAGGGCAGGATCATCTGATGCCTGTGTTTCTTGACAGTATGAGGTTTGAAGCATTAAAACACATAAAAAGAATGTGAAAGTTCTGGTTTTATACTATATTGGTGACCAGGGAACAGATGAGGCCCAGTGGGAGTCAGACTCTGCAATGAGCGGCGTTACATGCACTAACTGCTATCGAGTGTTGGTTGGAAAAGGAAAGGAGGTCTATCAGAGGAGAAATCTTGAATGGAAGGGGCCTCCAAAATGACTCATTAGCTGTTCTGAGTGACAGGAGCTGACAGACGGATGCAGCCAGGCACACACTAAGTCACAGTGCTTTGGGGATGAAAATGAGTCTTTCACTAGCTGAACACTCCATTCATCTCACAGTTGTGAAATAACTATCAGTGTCTTGAATGCTGTGCTAGCATAAACCCTCAGTCACATTATCTCCTTCTCAAGAACTTTAGGATTAAATAAGAATCCACCTTGCTGACAGAGTATCTGAGAATTAAGCTTTTTCTCAAAGGCACACATTC